ACATGTCCTCACATGTCCAAACATGTCCTCACATGTCCTCACATGTCCAAACATGTCCTCACATGTCCAAACATGTTCTCACATGTCCAAACATGTCTAAACATGTCCTCACATGTCCAAACATGTCTAAACATGTCCTCATGTCCTCACATGTCCTCACATGTCCAAACATGTCCAAGCACGTCCTCACATGTCCTCACCGTGGGCCTCATGCAAGAACATGTTTGTATCCTTATCCTAAATTTCTCTTACTTTTCGTTTCGTACGAACATGTCACGCACAAAAAACACCATATAAGGTTATTGTTCCTGCCCCACACACCAGGAAGTGTCCATTCATGAAAATGACAATGAAAACTAAAAAGAAGAACTTCACAAGTTCACAGATTGAAGTCCTGCTCTCCCAGATCCAGAAAAGAAAATCGGTCCCTTTTAGCAGCATCAGCTGTGGAATTAAAGGAGCTACTAAAGCTGAGGAATGAAATAACTACTGCTGTTACTGCTGTGTCTCCTGTGGGTCATTACAGTCACAGAAATATAAATTTAAATCACATTCATCTCTCTAGTCCTGATCCGGTTTTACTTTGGTCAAATATTTTTAATTTAAGTGTAAACAACTGTGTTACATAGTTTTCATTTATTGAGAAGACCAGTCGCACACCCCCTGCCCCGACCGTCACAAGGGTCAGGTGTGGTTCTGAAAAGACTCATTTTAAAATGTCTCCAAACTTCAATTAATGTATAATTTAAGTTGTTTTTTAGTTTCAGATATTCATATTAATATCGTAGTTTTATACAACAGCATTAAAAGCCAATTTAATTTAATCCAACCAGTTTCATCCATCCATCCATTTTCTGTACACGCTTCTTCCTTTTCAGGGTCGCGTGGGTCACTGGTGCCCATATCCAGCAGTCACAGTGTGAGGGGCGGGGTACACCCTGGACAGGTCGCAAGTCCATCACAGGGCTCTAACAAGTTTATATTGTTCAAATCTAATTCTAGTTCAAACAGAACAGCCTATTGTCGACATAATTATAGAGTGTGATTTATTTACAACTCTAAATATCTTCAAACTAATGAAATATAAAGTTATTAGTGAAGAAAACCCGTCTGGATAACAGCAGACTGACTGCTGGTAAAATCTACCACAGACCAGCGGCGTCGGATTCATTTCTCAGGTGGGGGGTCCAGACACACAGGGGTACCTGGCGCGTCAAAACTGAACGCAGACGGTCCCTGGCCAAGCGTCAATATGTTGACAAGTCCGACATGAGAATGTGCTCTCTGTTCGTACGCTCTGAACGTCAGGCGCACACGTTAAGTCTTACCACATGGTAATCCCATTGTGTACTGTCAAGTCTTTCTTCTGAAAATGACAAAAATAAATAAAACAAACTGCAGTCATGGATAATGTTTATTATTATTATTATTATTATTATTATTATTACTACTACTACTACTACTACTATTATTTTAGATATTTTTCAGTTCATCAGCAGCTGCTTGTAAGCATAAATCTGAATGCAGCGGACATTATTTTCCTGAATCAATGTCGACACAAGTGTTGGAATTTGCGGCACATTTCCTGAGGAAAAGGAGGGACGTTAGCCTGCTTCTGTTAATCGTTTGTTGTATTTTCTCATAAAAACAGATTTGGTCCACTAAGTTTAATTAGCAACGATTAGACTGTTTTTTACACATCAGGCTTTACTTGTATCGACTCATCATCAAGCAACAATTAAATAATATAGTTAACAACAAACTTTATTTTGAGGGGAAAATAAAGAAAATAACACATTTCCTCGTCTGGCAGCATTTTCTCCAAACCGACCGACCTGTCATCACAGCACAGCAACAAACTGCAGCTTCGTTTGGACAGCAACAATAATGACAAACTCCACGCAATTATTTGTCAACTCTGTCAGCAAAAGTTATCTGATCTGGGTAAAATACATGTCCGCATTTGGACCGGACCTGTAAAGAACCATGCGCTCCTTTTTTTTCCCCCTCTCCACAACCCGTCAGCTTGGATCTGCAGATCGGATGGTTGTGCATATTTTGGGCCAGAGATGTGGCACAAAATACAAAATTCTTATTTTATTTTTAAGCTGATTTGGTCGACCCGGATGGGATCGGATCAGAGTTAAAACGTTTTTTGCACGTCAGGCAGCTTTATGATCATAGAGCGTGACCCTGCAGAGCTGGAGAATTTGTGTAAACCCTCCGACTGGTCTCCACACAGGTTGTACTGGTCCCCATTTAAATAATTTATTAACTTTATTAACGAGTTTGTTCTAATTTTCACATCATTGTACAAGTTATGAACTGTACTGCCTTTTGGAGAATACTTCACCAGCAGAAATATCAAGTAGATAAACTCCAGCCTCCAGCTTGTGATAGGTGCACGCATCATCAGCTGAGCTCACAACCAAACCGATCCATGTGGACCTGATTATAAACAGATTTAATCCTGATTATAAACAGATTTAGTCCCGATTATAAACAGATTTAATCCTGATTATAAACAGATTTAGTCATGATTATAAACAGATTTAGTCCTGATTATAAACAGATTTAATCCTGATTATAAACAGATTTATTCCTGATTATAAACAGATTTAGTCCTGATTATAAACAGATTTAGTCCTGATTATAAACAGATTTAATCCTGATTATAAACAGATTTA